TAGAGATAACGAAATATAAATGGCTATTTTAAATTTGTTTCCTACGTACAGGAACTTTCCGACGAGTTACAGTCATCTGTGGCTAAAATCTTCCCGGTTCAATGTGATTTGACTCGAGAATCGGAAATATTGAATATGTTCAAGTGGATCGAAACCACAATCGGCCAAGGAGTGTCGGTCACAATCAATAATGCAGGAACAATGATAAAAAGCAAAATTTTGGGTGTGTATTCATCAATATACTATATTATTATGCACTGCAGCTCAGGCTCTGTGCGGCACTTTTACTGTGGGATGGATGGAGGGTTGGTGATCAGAGAAAGCTTAATTATTCCTGGGGAGGAGCTTTAAGAGAAACTCAAATATTTTTAATACATGTATGATCGATCCTATGTAAGCAAGTACCTACAAACTACCTAATATACATTATATTTATATATTAAAATGTTTATTTACAAGAAATTAAATATTACTAACAGTATATGAATATTTTTGTAAGTTAATACTTAATTGTCCAAGTTAAGATGTATTTATTTATTTTCTATTAATAATTCGTATATTTAACATCCATATTCTGGGGTATGGTAATGGTATAGGTGGTAATCTATGGTTTCAACTTATTAAAGTGAAAAAGAATTAAAAATACAACATTTTGTGAGATTTTCATATTGCGTCGATGTACGAATTGCATATGGCAGATAAAGATCATGAATTTCAGGTGGTATTTATTTGTGGTGCGTTCGAGTTGCGTGAGGACGATTATTTAAACTAACATATTGCATGTATTTACTTTATTTACTTATTGTATATCTTGATGAAATTGCTTATTAAAGACATATCATCAGTGATCAGTGATCAATTTGAAACAGATCAGTACGAAAGTACTAAGAAATTTATGTTAAATAAAAAAAAAACTTTTTGTTACCTATAGATGGATGTAAATAATATAGTTTAATTTGAGACTTGTGTTTCAGACGGTGAAACGAACGACTGGAGATATTTGTTCGATCTCAACGTTATAGCAGTAACTATATGCTGTAGGGAATCGTACAAATCGATGAATAAATATGGTATTTTAGATGGACACATTATAAATATAAACAGGTTGAGTATCTATAATTACTGTATTCATTGAGAATAAGCATAACACCCGTTAACCCTTAATCAAAAGATGATGTCAATTGTTTTTAAGATTTACTACCATTAAAATGTATTTATTCTATATACTTTTATTTGAAATAAATAATTTATTTGAACAAGTATTGTGATAGTATATTAGTATAGACATATAATCATGCTTATTGCTTAAAGTTAATAATTTAAAAATAAATATTATGTATTTTGAGTATTTTTGACTACATTAAATAATATAAATTACAATCAATAATCAATATTTAATACTATACTTGCATAAATAGTATATTACTTAATAATTTAACTGTATATTAATGCCGTATAACTACTCTTAATAATAAAAAATTTCTCTTTTAAGGTTATCATGTAGTGAAACCGTGTATATCCTAAAATAGAGAGACAACAGTTATATAATTATTTTGTTTTTTAGCACCGCTGGGTACACATTACTACCAACGTCAGGACAGAAAGTGTACAATTCTTCGAAAACTGCACTTACGTATTTAACTGAAGGACTTAGACACGAACTTGCTCATGCTGGGTCAAAAATCAAAGTAACAGTAAGTTTCAAGAATAGTTGTGGTTAAAGACCATATTTATAAAATTTCTATTTGTGGACATGGAATTTATGTAGGTACCTTTATAATACATTTTAAACAGTTATAATAATTAGAAAATAATTGATCTGTGATCTGTGTAGACGTGTAGTACAACATCTATTGGGAAGTGTACTCAAATGTTTTGTCGATGCCCGGATGATAAAATAATTAGTATTTTATGTCGTATTTGTTCATATAGAGTATCAATCCGGGAAAAGTAAACTCTGAAGCTGTCGGAAGTGTCAGAGGAAATGAAAAATCTACTTTGTCAATGAAGCCCGAAAGAGTAGCGTCCATGGTGATCGTAGCATTAACTCAACCGATAGATGTTGTGGTAAGCGAAATGTAAAATAGATCACTTCGAAAACAATTAAATTTATTAAGTTGAGTGCATGAAATACAAGGTGATTTATAAGCATGCTCATCTTATTGATATGCTTAAATTATACATACATTAAAATTCAGATTTTTGGAACTTTTCCAGAAGACCATTTTTGAATCATTGAAATATTTTGTACCACTTAAGGTTGTTCCTGTGACTAAACAAACTTCAGTTTTTCAAACAGGAACCTCCCTTTTTCGTTTTAATTTTTTTTTTGAGAATTTTGATGAATCCAAATCAAAATTCAAGCTAGTAGTTTTTGAGTTATGTAACTTTGTGTTTAAAGGATAATATGTCTATGGTAATGGCTTATTTTTAAAAAATCTAGTAATTGCTATTGATTCATCAATATAAACAATTTGTAAAAATGTTCTAGGTATAATAAATGCTAGTATTAATATTGCATGTATAGTTTCTATTTTTATAAAACCATTTTTAAGGATTATTATCTTTAGTATAAACATTTTAATAACTCAGACACTATTCATTAGAATTTTGATTTAGATACATCAACATTTTCAAAAAAATCATCGGCTAAATAATTTTCAGTAAAAAGGGTTGTTCTCATTAGAAAAATAGAAATTTGTACCTCCGCAGAATATCCTTAAGTTTTACAAAAAAAAATTAGAAATTTGAAAGTATGGTCTGTAAGTCTTCTTAAAAAACTTAAGGAATCAGAATTTGAATAAATATGCACTATTAAAAGGAAAAATAGGGGTGAGCATATTTACAAAAACGCCCTATTTTTAATATATATTATAAACAATGAAACTTTTAAGTGCATCAGTGCATGACACTCATGTAAAATGAAATTTCGCCTGCAATACAGAGTGTTCAGTTTGTAGAAGGTTTATTGTTTATTCCCATAAAAGTCCATTGTTTGTGGGTGATTGTTATTTAGAAGTTTTTGCCAGGAGAGGGTCACTGTATTTACATAATATTGTGGACAAACTATTCACGAATTTAACTACTATATGAAAGTATAATAATTAAATTATAATTACATTACAATAATTACAGATTTATTCATGAAATGTATTTTCAAATGTTGTAAAATAATTGTATATTAATCTTTCATTCGAACAAGTTATCTACTTACCTATCAAAATATAAATAATTTAATACCTAATTTTTAAAATAATATATATAAAAAAATTATAAGGTAGTCAATATATATTTTCACACATAATATTTTTGTTTCGGAAAACAATTAATTTCTCTCTAGTTTCTACATGGACGATCTTGAAGTTAGAAGACAGCAGGTCATAAGCACCAACTATATACGCAGTATCTATTTACATTGTTGCGACTGAGTTGGTGATATGGTTATAATATGAATTTTTGATTTTCCTAGTAGCTCAAGTGCAAATTGTACTTGGAAAGCGATGAAAACGCTGTAAAATGAATATATAACCGAAAGCCCGCATCGTCGATAGGGAAATATTTAAATCGCGTTGCTTTTTTAGTAATCACAGCTCTATTTGGAATCGTTTTTTGAACTCATTAATATTTTATTATTATAGTGCTCTGAAACGAGATCAATGATTAATATACCTCAGTATCACTTTTTTTTTTAAAATTAACACAACATGTCGTCTACGGACGGCGACTCTGAGTAATAATAATATTATGAGATAGATAAAAATATGTGATATAATATACAATATTTCAGTAGGATAATATCCATATACTATGTATCTATTAACTGGTATACCAGTTATATATTAGTCTATATATATATAGAGAGAGAGAACGATCTATAATAAATGTCTTGTACATGTTTCAGATAGGCGAGTTGACCGTTCTATCTGTGGGCGAAACTATGCAAACGTATCCTCCACCCATCATATCCTTAAAGTAATACTCGACATAATATTTATATTTGTACGTAAAATTTACGACTTTGACGAACACGTGTGTACATATAAATATAATATAATATTACGCCGGTTGTAAATTGTTAATCATAGTTATAAGATCGAGTTTGAAAATTTTAATAAATGTTGCCATTGTTCAGATATCACGAGTCTTAATTCAAATACTGAAATACCTATATATATATAACAATATAATAAACATAATACGTGATTTATGTATTTATGCTAGTAAGTTTCTGTGAAGAATTTTTTCTCAAAATGCAGATAGGTAGTTATACCTATATATTATAATATAATAGGTACTTATGCCGGGTATATCAATCATACAAAACCGATTCATTTAATGATTATCTAAAATGTCATAAATCAATCATGGACCGTTATCTCACTGTTGGTTCATTATATCTTAGTGATTATTTTATGAAACTCAGCATAAAATACAAATTACTAACTCCCAATATCATTGAGGAACGAATGTTTTTTTTCAAAATAAATTTGAAAACAGTACCTAAAGATACAAGACTTACTTCACGCAATATTAAACCCACACAAATATCGACCGTTGAAAAATGTAGTGAGCCACGAAAGTACAGCAACATCGTGTAATGCACATACTATTGAAAGTCACTTAATAATGTGAAAGCACCAAATTATATTGATAGATTCCTACGGGTAACCGGAAATGAAGATCTCGTGTGCTATATTTGATTACTTAGGTCCCAATCTGTAAGTCACGATAATTGAACCATTTTGCACCTATGTTGCCAGTTAATTATTTTTTTGGTGACAATGCACCGCGGGTTGATCGATATTGATAATATTTTTTTTGCCGGAGAGGAGACGTACATTAGATTAAAATGTTTCCGCGTAATCGATTTTCGATAGGGTTTATAGACGTTGATTTTAAATAATATTTGTGTAGTTTAAACTAATATAGTACTATGACTGCAGTAGTTATAATGATGGGTGTGTGGGTGCAGGAATTATAGTATCGTTTGTGGCGGCAGGTCAGACGTCGATGTCGATGATGGTCGGCTGGATGGGTGTCATGGTCGGTGACGGCGACAGGTCGAGGGCGTCGAGCGGCGACGGTGGCCGGCGGAACGATGGTGGCGGCGTAGAAGCCGAATGTGGCTTAGCAGTGGCCGAGGCCGTTGGCGAAGGCGGCCGCGGCGTAGACGTCTGCGTGGATGGCGAAGGTGAAGATGCCGATTTGGGGGACGGCGACAGACGGACGACGTCGGCCACGCGCGCGTTGTCCGTGTCACTGTCGTCCGATTCGTAGTTTTCGATGTCGTCGTGGTCGTCATCTTCGTCGATGTCCGCATGCAGAGACCGGAACTCATCGAGCTCACGGTCGGCTGACGATTTGATAAACAACGGCAAACTGTTCGAGTGGCCCGTCTGATAGCTCACGATGTCCGACGACAGAGGCGCGCGGCTGGGCGGCTGCTGAGGCCGGCAAGGCAGTGGCGCCGTCGGCGTCGGACGCTTGATGAAGTTGACAAACGGTGTCGTCGACGAAGCGGTCGCAGGACCACCGTCACCGCCGAACGAGGGGGACGCAGACGGTGGCAAACCGAAAGGTGACGGTGACGATGACAAACCAAACGACGACGGCGGCGGCGGCGGCGGCGATCCCAGCGTGCCCGGCCAGTGGTAGTACTTATCGCCCTCTCCGTAATCACCCGAATCTGAAAGAGAACAACAAAAAAAAAAAACAAAAAAAAATTGACTGTTAGGTGGTTTTGCGAGGTTTATGGATTTTTGGAATTTTTTTTTAGGGTTGAGGGTTTGGGTTTTTGACACCTAGTGCCCACGATCATCGTCTGTGCTCATCGTCATCGTCTGCTGCAGAATACCTCCTGTCTTTAAACTCGGGTTTGGGATCGACTGACTGGTTTTCACGGTGAACGGATAAACCGACATTGCATAAACGCGTGTTCTAAACGGTCTACGAAGTAATCACAATAATCGTCAAAAACATCTTCTGTATAGAAAGAAACTAAATGGACGTGACGGTTCGATGACTCGGATAAAAATTATGTAATCTCGGCTTACAACGAATAATAAAATTCTGCAGAATTCGGTCTATCTGTTTTTTTTTATATTAGATAACCAAAGTATTTTTTTTCGAATACATTCGTGTATCTAATGGTTATTGACGAACTTATTTTGTAGGTCAAATTTTTACTTTTTCACAGCGCTGTTAAGTGTTATCCTTTATGATAAATGATAATACAGAACCATATTTTTTTAAAGCACTGTTTTCACCAATCATAACTCTGGATATCTACTAAAAAAAAAAACATCTTAACCTGCATTCTGCCACAGTGAAACATTATTGAGATTAGAGTACCTACGGATTTTGTAGATACATATTATCTATGTCGAATGAAATTCTTGTTTTTGTGATGCTTTTTTTAGGTATCTTTTACTTTTAAGTCACTCTTATTTTTTAAAAATCTTTTTGTGGAAAACGTGCTCTTTATCAACGTGTATTTGAAACATACGAGTAATACGAAAGGTAAATATTTATTTAAAAATATTTAATAAGTGTGCTAGGGTGGCTCATTAAATAAGTATTTTTTAAATTTATCTCTGGTATTTATCTCTGGTATTTTTCGTACATACATCTTACGAATGCTAAAATTTAGATTTTTTATCCATCTGCAACTGCATGCCTGTAAAAATTAGACACGATATTATATAGAACAGTAAGTTTATATTATATTATTGAATTATTATACTATTAAATTTAAAGAATAAAATAGCATCAGAATGACCCTAATGGTTTTTTTTTTTAAAATTATTTAGTAAAATATTTTTAGTGATTTTTTAGTACTTTTTGTTAATGTTTCATAAGTATATGATAATATTTAGCCGCACTCCAATACGCGTTATCATATCGCACACAACAATCGCGGGCTCAGAGCGTATATAAGACCCTCTAACCCTTGTTTAGCGTGAAAAAATAAATAATAAAGTGAAAACAAAAAATTCAGTCCACCAATATTGGGTCAGTTTTCGTCGACGCACCATTAACCGCGTCGGGCGCTTTGAAGAACGGACTGGACGGCGACGGGAACTTAAACGCTGACGGGCGGCCGCCGCCATAGTCGCCGTTGCTGTCGTCGTCATCGTCGTCGACGTTGTTGTTGTTATTGACGTCGTTGTACTTGTTGTAACCAAAATTCAACGACAGCGGCTGTGGTCGCGGCAACTGCGGCGCGAACGGTTCTCCATCAACGTCTGACTCGTACTCGGACGACAGGGACAGCGACTGCGGCTGCAACGCGAACGGACGCGGTTCGTCGTCATCGCCGCCGCCGTCACCGCCGCCAGACTCGTACTCGGACTGATGCTGAGACGAACCCGGTAACTTTTCTGGTCCGCTGTGGTAACCGTGGTCGCGGTTGGGCGACTCCTCGCCGTCGGGCCGGACGTACCGGACGGACGCTCGGAAACCGTTTTTGGGGTCTGCCGTGTACAGCACTCTCCTTAGCACGCCGTCCGGTTCCATTACGGTATACTCGCCGGTCACGTGTGAACCGTCCCGCGTCTCAGAGTGACCGTGGCTGTCGCCTGTATTCGGGTTCTCCACGCCGTACGAGAACGAGTAGTGAGGTTTTGCCTGCGGTATAACATACACGATTATTGATTGTTGTATAATATATAATATGGGTAAAAATCAATGAGAGTTGCCCATTTGTGCCACTAGAGTTGAAGGCATTTGGGGCCAAAATAAAAAATATTACACTCTGATATGCGCGGTAAAAGATCAATTCCAATCAAAACCAATCCAAACTGCAGATCGTATTTTGCCGGCCTAATATGTGTTCCTCCTAGCGCAGTTAATATACGGGAAACTAGGTGAACTGACCGACCGAAGAGCAACTTAAATTACTACAACCTAGCTTTATGTGTAAAAAATCGTACTGCAAATGCCAGCCTGAAAAATCCGGTTCTCTGTGATTTCTATGAGAGTAAACTATAATATAAATAATAATTCGTTTGTCTTATCCTTGTATAATAATAATAAATTAATTTCAATTGAAAATTGTATTTTTTAATTTTTTATTACAAACTTAATATTTGACCCTAATGAACCCTTTAACTCATACCTTCTGTAATGAAGTTTCACTTCATTGGCGTATACTTATTTTTACTCACGGTTTTTTAAAGTATTCTATACTCTCAAACTTTTTTTTTGTACACATTTCAAGTTTTACAGGTAAATTGTATTCGTTCATTTTTGTCTTAACGTCTTGGTTCCTAATTGATCATTAAATAATATTTAAGATTTTATGTATATAATTACCGATAATCGCAAAGTTGTACTATTTGTCCTCGTTTTAAATTGGGTGCGTCATGATCTAGGGGTGAAAATGGTCTAAGTAAGTGGTTTTGGGCGCAAATGAGTTGTGTCAATACATTTGTTTAATATGTTAATACCTTCGCAGGGTGATTGACCTGCCATGTTTACATCCACTTTTTTACATGTATTCAAATGATTTTTTTTTAAATTAATAATTATTTCCATATTTGATATTTTTAAAACCTTCAATTTTTTAAACTGTAATTTAAGAAGTGTCCTGTGGTCTTGCTGTAATTCAAATTTCTTTTTTTTACTATAAGAACAGTTCTAACAAAAGGTTGTTTTGTGCCATACACTGTTAAAAGACGATGATTTTCTTTTATAATGTTTATGATGTTTATGTATCCAAATCGATATTTGAACTAGTGATTAAAATATGTATAATTTTTATGTTGTAACTAAGTCTAGTTGTCTAGTAGGTATCTAATTAATAGCTTAGAGTTAGACTATTAATACAAATTATAAAATATTCATATCCCAGCCCCCATATCTTCAAAATCTATACTATAGATATGTTGGATCTATTATCCTTAGTATATAGTTACTAGTTCGTACTTATACACAAAGTTAATACATCAAAACTACTTTGTTACTGAATAGATACATTAACATTTGAAGATAAAATAGTCTTCTTAACAATTTACTATTTACATTAAAAAAGGTGGTTTTTATTTGAAACAAAAAAACTGTATCGCCAAAGAACACCTCTCAAGTATTTTTAAAATATGATAATCACTCATTAGTGATTAATTATACTTAACAATACTAAAAAAATGACAAAGTGAGGTGAGCATGTTTGGTGTATTTGTATCATTCTGATAAACTATTGTCATCCAATTTAGAAATTTGGGTCGAGGGTCATTTCTAACCGTTATGTTTGTGCATTGCAACCACACTGAAATTATTACTTCCTAGAAGATTTTTTTTTTTTAAGACTAATATTTTTAAAACTTGAGATATATTGTATCATCGCAGACTGATACGACAATTTTTCTCACCCATATAACACCTACAACATATGTGTTAAATTTGCTGCTCACAAAAAAAGTGTGGCCCAGAGCAATTGCCTCCCATGGCCCGCCTAAGTATGCCATTGGATGGGCAAGATACTCAAAAATCGGTATCACGATACTAGATACTCGATAGGTATACTCATATTTTAATGCACACTTATAGCAGGAAACTGCCTGCCCATCACCTTGCATATTGTATGAGTTACCAGGACCATTTACGAAAGAAGGATGCGTAGGTCAGATCTCTCATGAATATTTTGTTTGAAGTCCTGAAGAAGTGACAAAAAAATTCTGGTAATTTTCAAATTCATAGCTTTTTAAATTATGGCATAAAAATAATTACAACTATAATTTTGTTTTTACTGAAATAAGTCTTGTAGAGACGTTGCATATGTGCCGGAAACTCATTAAATGGGTAATACACGAAATATGAACCTATACGTATTGAGTATGGAGTAATGTTGTTTAGAAAAAGCTTAGCAAATATAATACTATTTTTTATATTCAAAACAAAATTAAGTTATTGAACTACATTATTAATATTTCACGTCACACTACATTGTGTTATAACACATTTGGACAATTCAGGAATTGAATGAAATATAACTATTCTATATTCTACCGTATAATGTATATCATATTCATATATTATACATAATATAAAGGCAGTAGAACTAATCGCTAATCTCACCATCACAACTGGGTCCTATAAAATGCTATAGTTGCAATCGTAACATAATAGTTTGAAGAGACTGTGGATGTAAGTCGTGAGGAGTATTGTCCTCATATTATTATCATATTATTATATGATGATTGCACCATAGGATATTTAACTGAAAACGTTCACGACAGTTAATGTATATTTGGGAGACTCGTGTAATCACCTAAAATTAATTTTTCAAAAACTTACGAGTTGATGTCTATTTCTTTAGGGTATTAGAAATATCTTAAAACACCAAATTGTTGTAAAAATTCAATATAGCTTTTCTGTTGTATTTCTACTTTTATACAAAATGTATAGGCAAAATTAAAAAAAAGAAAATATTTATTGAGTTTTAATAATCGTTCTGAATACATGTTTTTTATATTTTTAATTTTCATGCATGCACTTTGAAGCCCTAAACTATATAACTGGTACTAGTATATTAAATTATAAGTAAAAACTTTTTTACTACCTATCAAATTTTATTATATAATAAGGTGACTTGGTGTTTAAATAATTGTATGTTTACAAATAATTGGTTTAAATTTATAATGTCAGCATTTAAAATAATACATCGACGATTTGAAATTTATGATATTTAAAAATAAGTACATGTTTTATAAAAAACAATTCAGTAGTTTACTAGGTACAGTCGAATTAATTTTGGTTTGTTTTTAGGATTTCGATCTCCGACCATTTTTGACAATAAAACAAGGTATTACAAGTAGTATTTGTAATCAAATATTATGTGACTGTGGATTATGATAAATTATATAAAAAGTTATCTAATTTTTGTTTTTTTTTTATTTTATTCTGAGCGGAGCGAGCATGGATT